TATATATATATATATATATATATATATACCCAAGTATTTGTATGTTTTGATTGGTCATTCTAGCTTTTGTAAAAGCGTTTTCCTCTTACGAAGGATCGTTTATTAATTTGAAACTTTTAAAACCATTTATTTTACATTCACTTTATCACTTGATAAGACACCGGAGGTGTTGAAACAAAATGGCTATTTTTGTAGCGATTTTATAACATATTTATGTTATAATTTTAAATAAATAATATATATATATATATATATATATATATATATATATATATATATTTTTTGCCGTTAACAATAAATTTAAAAAAAATCCAGACGACATGCATTTAACGGATGTCAGAATTCATTGAAAATACATCCCTACTCCTACCTAAACGTAACTAATAACTGATACATTAAAATACAGCGATAATGAACTCGGAAACACCCCTTGTCTGGATGAATGGATTTCTCTGTATCCTTGGAAACGTGAATTAAGATTTTTTGCTGTACCTTTAAGACCCTGTAATAAGTTACTCCAAAATTCGCTTGAGAATGAAATAGAACTAATGTCTTTAATTTAATTACAAAATTAAATTCGAAGCTTTTAGCTTCCATTTTTTGAAACATGGTTAGAACTGTGTAACGAAAAAAAAACATATTTTAAATCAATTAATTTATAATATATATATATATATATATATATATATATATATATATATATACCGACGTCAGGTTGCCTTCCTTTGCCTTTTCTATAAATACATTCATGTTAATTGTTCGGATGAGCTCATCGCTTTGGTGAATTTAAGGACAATACTAAACTGGCGATGAAGTGTTTACAGTTGAGCAGGGTTAGATGTAACCGCAAATTCTATGCTAACAGCTTCTTTTCTCGCACTTATCATTTGTGGAATTCATTTCCTTTAATCTACAAAAGTTTTAAATGCAATTTCAATCGCTATCTGCTGTCTTCCTGATTACTCTTCCCGCCTTGTTCCTTTTTCTAAATCTTCCTCGGCCAGTAACCCTTTGCGTCTATGGTTTTAATGTCTTGTTTGGGGTGAACTTGATTAATTACATACATACATACATACATACATATATATATATATATATATATATATATATATATATATATATATATATATATATATATATGTGTGTGTGTGTGTGTATATATATATAGTATTGATTCCATATTTTCACATCTATCAAACATCATTGGGTGTGCTAATGACACTCAGTAACATGTGTGGGTGCATCTGACCTAAATCTTGGACGAGTAAAGCAGAGAGTGAGAAATGAGAAATGTCACGTGACCTGTCTTTGAGTAATCCATAATCTCCCAGAAGGCATTACATGAAAGACACCTTGCATGTGGGTAATTTTTTTTTTTTCAATTGACTTGTGTGAGAGTTTGTTCCTTGAAATGGTTCGAGATTTCTATTAGATTTCACTTACCATCCTTCTTTGTCATTTTTTTTTCTTTTCACTAAATAACTTTCTTTCTCTCTTTGTTTTCTTTCCATCTTTCTTTCTTTATTTTTTCTTTTTCTTTCTTTCTTCCTTTTCCTTACAACTTTCTTTCTTTCTTTTTTCCTTTCCTTTTCCTTCCATCTTTCTTTCTTTCTTTCTTTCTTTCTTTCTTTCTTTCTTCTCCTTCCTTTTTCGTTTCTCTTCTTTCCATCTTTCTTTTTTTCGTAAGTTTCTTTTCCTTCCATCTTTCTTTCTTTCTTTTTTATTTTTCTTTTCTTTTGCTTTCATTTTTCTTTCTTTCTTTCTTGCTTGCTTTCGTTTCTTTTCATTCCATCCTTCTTTCTTTCATTTTCCTTTCTTTCTATTTTCTTAAATCTTTCTTTCTTTCTTTCTTTCTTTCTTTCTTTCTTTCTTTCTTTCTTTTGCTATTTTTTACCTTTTTGTTTGGGCTTACTGTTATATCACGTTGAAATACCGGTACCCGTACGATCATCGAAGATAAGCAACGCCGGGCCTCGTGGTTTAGATAGGTGACCGCTTGTAAATACCAGGTGTTGTAAGCTTGGATGAACGGGTGGATCAATAGATAATAGTTAGGAAATTGTAAATCGGAGACCCGAGTTCCAATTCTAGTTGGGTTCGTTATGTTCACTTAGGTGCAAATACCCTTGGGAAAGGTATGAACAAACCTCTACTACCCAAGTTACGAGATAATTAGTAACACCTATATCGCTAAACCATTATTATTTCTAAAAATATTCTCACAATCTAAAAACATTTTCTGGCTTTAAATAACCTACAAAAGGTTGGTAAGCAGTAAAAAACAAATCAACCAATCAATCAATCTTTCTTCTACTATTTCTTTTTAAAATTTTTTTCTTTCTTTTATTATTTCGCTCTTTGTTTTTTCTTTCTTTCTTTTTCTCTCTTAAACATTTTATACAATTTCTTTATTTATTCATATCACAAACACACACACACATCTATCTATCTATCTATCTATCTATATATATATATATATATATATATATAGAGAGAGAGAGAGAGAGAGAGTGCGTTAGATAGATAGATAGAGAAAATATCGAGAGAGAGAGAGTGAGAGAGAAGGGCCATTAATTACAATCACAAGGTCTCAGTCTCTTCATATATATATATATATATATATATATATATATATATATATATATATATATATATATATATATATATTCTATCACGTGCTCTCTGTTATCGAACTCATAACCACATATATTTCGAAACTACATTACTCAGGGTACTTGGATAAGTATATTTCATTTTGATCAAAGGAGGTCTACCGGGGAGGGGTGTTACAAACCTCCCACTGAAATTTTTTTTTTTCCCTTTGATTTAAATTAAATTTAAATTTGAACAAGGGGATGGCTCTTATCCAAAATATGGAGAAAGTCTGAAGATGGAGGTCACATCGGCAAGATCATTGAATAATATTGAAATGTATCCTTTTTCTCCTCAAATTATAACGATGATTTTAAATCAATCGTCATTTTCTTACAAAAAATGTATGACGCGCAGCAAGGCGCGAGTAATTGGACATATATATATATATATATATATATATATATATATATATATAAGAAAAATAAAGAGGAACAGGAAAGAAAGCAAAAAAGGAAACAAGAAAGAAAAAGGAAACGAAAAAGAAGTTAATGATGAGAAACAGCGAAAAGAAATTTTGAAAACGAGGCAAGGCAAACTAATATTGTAAAAAAAACAAGATGCAACAAAACACAAAAAAAGGGAGAGAGAAACAAGAAAACTTTGAGAGAGAGAGGGGCAGAGAGGTGAGAGAGAGAGAGAGAGAGCGAGTCACATACGTGATAAAGAGAAGAAAGAGGAAAAGAATGTTTAAGAGAGCGGGAAGTGGCTGCTTAAAATAAAAATCAAGTGCGAGAAGGAAAAGAAAGGAAGATAGGTGTAGAGGAACAAGTGAAAAGGAAAAAGAGAGAAAAAAAAAAAAAAAAAAAAAAGGAAAAAGTATGAATAGGTAGATAGAGAGACAGGAAGAGAAAACAGATGAAATTTCGGAGTGAAATTAATTACACCTTTGCTATTGGCTTCGCATCTGTCTTGTCTAAGTTTGCCGTCCAGTCACTGCGTGGGAGAGGGGCATCGTCCCTTAACCTAACTGACCAACATTACCGACGGACCACCACATTCTCCCCACCTCCAGCACCTACTGTGTTCTTGGTAAGGTTCTTACTTTCTTTCAGACTCATCCTTCTCTGGACAAAATCTCGAATGTATCACTTTGATGTCTCTAGACACGTGACCGTTCCATAGCGATAGCGGGCAAAGGTTTGGTGAAGTATGCAGAAGAATTGAAGTTAGCCACGCCCAATCTGACCTGAAGTGATGCCTTGCCTCATCGATCACCGATCGGTCAGGTTAATAAAGAGCTCGTCACTTGATCAGGGCTTTCGACGTGGATCGAGATGGTTAGGAAGAGGTACGGATGATATGGTCGGTGGGTGTGGGTGTGTGCTAACTCCGTTATTCTTTGGTTCAAGCGGCTAATATTACATTAACAGCAGCAATGTTTAAGCTGATAAAGTGTTGCAAAATTTGGCTTAAAGGCGGAACAAAGTTCATGGTGGAAAGTCGAAAGGAAAACCGGGTGGGAAGGAAAAAAAAAAAAGAATTCAATGTACAAAAAAAGAAGAAAGGATCTGAGGGTGGAAAAATGAAGAAAGGATTTCAGAGTAGAAAATGAATAAAGGAACATTGGTAAGGAAAAAAAAAGGACCAAACGCTGAAAATTAAAAAGAGAACCTCAAGATAGAAATGGAAGAAATAATCTCAAGGTAGAAAAGGAAGAATGGAAGTCTGGGTAGAAAATAAAGAAAGGATCACAAGGTGGAAAAAGAAGAACGGAATTCTGGGTAAAATAAGGAAAGAAAGAAAGGATCAAAGGGTGGATAAAGCAGAAAAGAACTCCGGGTAAAGATAAAAAAAAAAAAAAAAAGATCAAGTGTAGAAAAGGAAGAAAGCATCAAAGGGTGGAAATGAAAAAAAAAGGAACAATGTAGAAAGGGAATAATTGATATCAAGTTTTAATAAGGAAGAAACACACTTAGGGTGGAAATGATCAAAGGGTGGAAATGGAAAAAAGGAACTCAATATGGAAAGAGAAGAATTGATATCAAGTTTTAATAAGGAAGAAACACACTTTGGATGGAAATGATCAAAGGGTGGAAATGGACAAAAGGAACTCAATATGGAAAGAAAAGAATTGATATCAAGTTTTAAAAAAGGAAGAAACACACTTTGGGTGGAAATGATCAAAGGATGGAAATGGAAAAAAAAGAACAAGGTGGAATGGATCTCAGGTTAGAAAAGGAAGTTCAGTTAGAAAATAAAAATAAGAATCAAACATTGAAAATTGAAGAAAAGGCTCCCAGAGTGGAAAAGGAAGACACTGGGTAGAAAAAAAATAAAATAGCCCTGAAAAGAATGTACCCAAGGAAGAAACGCTAGTTGGTAAAAGAAAAAAGGATCTCAGTGAGCTAAAAAAGAAAGGAACTCAGCGTAGAAAAAGAAATAAGAATGAAAAGAAGGAAGAAACGTCGATTGGAAAAAAAAGAAAAAAATGGTCTTATGTATAGAAAGAAGAAGAAACACCCGATAGAAAAGGAAGAAGAAAGGATTGCAAAGTCGAAAAAAAAGAAAAGATCTCTGAATGATAAAGGAAAGAAGAAGGAAATTTTGGATGGAAAAAAAAGGAAAAAGACTCCCGGTGGAAAAGAAGAAAGAATCTCACCGTGGATAAAAAAAAAAAATGAAAGGACCTCAGCGTAGAATGACGACGAAAGGATCTGAACGTGGAAAAAAAAAAGAAAGGATCTCTGGATGGAAAAGAAAGAAAAGATATCTAGTCGGGAGACTGAAAACATTTGGCAGTGGTAGTGGGAATAATTAGGGTTTTAAAGTTGAAGAGTGAACTTTAATAATAAAGAAACGATTGTAACCATAAAGGCGAAAGATTTCATACAGCAATTTACTAAGCGTAGCTTTGATGTGGCCCAAGGCCGATAGGTATTAAGCACCTAGTTAGGATCGAATTCACTAGTTAGTCGTAACTGATCTAGCCAGACAAGCTTATTGACCATTACATCACGTCGATGTGTCCAGATTTCATATAAAAAAATCTATAATCAAACTTATAATGAGTAATGGATTGGCAAAAAAGAAAAGACTTAGCACCTTTCATCCTAAGAAGGGATTTCTTCAGACTATCGCCCGGTTCACACTCCTTCCCTTTTTTTAAAAATTGGGATAGGGGTTTATCCCTTGTTTCGTGTTTAGGATTGGGTGTCTGGTTCTTTCTCATGTCTACTTCAACTATACGTCTTCGCCTAAACACTGAAATTTTATTTATTATATGTTTTTTTTTTTTAATTTTTATTTATTTATTTTTTCTCAATAGGAATAGATAGGTTCGTCTGTTGTCCGGTTTCCACTGCTCACACGGGTCTAATGAGAATGAAAGAGAACCTGAAAACTTTAGAAGGAACAGGAAATCCAATCCTAAACAAGAAACAAAGATCAGGGAGGAGGGTGAACCGGACGACAGGCGAACCTTTCTACTCCTATTGAGGAAAAATAGTAAATAAAATCAGTTTTAGGTGGATTCATTACAAGTATAAAATTGAAGTAGACTTTAGAAAGAACCGGAAACCAAATCCTAAACAGGAAACAACGTATTAGCCCCTACCCCTGTTTAAAAGACCAGGGAGGAGTTTGAACAAGGCGATAAGCGAAAGTATCTTGCTCTGGAAACGCTTCTTATGCTATGACTGCAGTGCATGTGATGTTTATACGACTCTAATGGGCTATGGAACTCGTGGCGTGAGGACTTTAATGTTTTTGACGTTTGATTTTGGTCCAAACGAAAAATATTTTTTTTCTGGGAGGACGAGGTTTGAAATTTCACTGTAGAGGAGAGATTTTTCCCAGAATTCCTTTTTATTTGCTACTTCTCACAGTCTCCATTTTCCAGATTTACTAATGCTACAAGAAGGTGGGTTGTTAACCCTTTCTTAAAACGGTCAGTCTGCAGTGCGCAAACAAGTAGAAAGGAAAATGGTCGCTTTTCTGCTTTTGCTTTATAAATATCCTAATAAAACAAGAGTGGCCATGTTGTTGTTTGAGTGTCCGCTTTGCTTTTAGCTGTTCGTTACGAAACCAAGCATGAAACGACGACCCCGTGACATTTCTCAATATTCATTGTATTTGAAGGACCCTTAATGGCTTCAGTTGCAGCCCTTCTGACCATCCCTGCACCGTTAGACATATTTGTATCAGGCCACTGGTCAGCTCGACCCCTACGGCTCTTTTCTGTTCGACTGCTATTATTAACGACCCACAACACTCTTCGTTATTCTTCTCATCTCATTCGGGCAATTGTCCTTATTGCCTTAATTTCAACTTTGTCTTTTTCTATCCTTTCAAATCCTCACGTCAGGCAATATTCGCGTGGGCTTGGCGGGAGCTCCCAGTGTATGACCCTAAAATGGTTACTAGGTAGGTTTCCAGACACCTCTTTAATTATTTCCTATACTCCGGCGGATTTTGTGAGTGAGAATAGAATATGATATACTAATGGCTTTCTTTCGATCATTGTCTTTCAGTGTTTAATGTAACTTGGACTTGTTGATATACAAACATGGGCTCAAAGTGAAAGCCGTCCTGGGTATGACGATAAACTACATCTGCGTCCGGGGTAAGACGATAAACTATACCCGACAGTAAGCCCTCTGATCAGGAGCTTTTGAGGAGCATGGAACCACCTCTTAATTGCTGGTGTTCTCAGGTCCAACATGACCTGCGGTGGTGGCACCTGTTAGGGTCCCAGCTATGGGCAAATAGTTAACCACCAAACTGGGGCCAAAACACTATGAAAGTGTAAAAATAGGTTTTAATACCTTCAATACATTTTCGTAAAAAAATTATTACAAGCAATAAATTTTTGAGGAAAAATTATTACCAGCAATAGATTTTTACCAGCAATAGATTTTTGAAAAAAAATATTACTACCAATATATTTTTGGAAAAAAATATTACCAGCAATAGATTTTTGAAAAAAAAAATACTACCAGCAATACATTTTTTAAAAAAATTATTACCAGCAATACATTTTTGAAAAAAGAAATATTACCAGAAATACTTTTTGGAAAAGAATATTACGAGCAATAAAAATCTTGTCGGCATTAAATAACCCATTGAGTTTGATATGCCGTAAAACAAATCAAACCAATCAAAGTGAAAGGGATTCCAGTTTAGCGTTTGGTGGAAAGAGTGATAACAGCTACTGAACTTGAGAAATGTTATTTTCCTGAAAAATTGTTTTAAGAGAAAGATTTTACAGATTCCAACCGATAACGGTACTGGCTGCTCGGTCACTCAATGCCGGATGTTTCCTTATAAGGAAAAGGCTACCATTACCGTTACCATTTCTCGAATCTTTCTCTCCATTATTTGAATTTCAGTCAACTACCATCACTACAATAAGCACCAATACTACTACTACTACCACCACCACTATCACCACCACTGCTACTACCACCACTATTATTACCGCCATCACCAACACTAATACTATCAGCATCACCGCCACCACCACCACCACCACGACTACCACTTCATCACTGATACTACTAATACCATCACTACCACCAATACCATCAGTGCTACTGTTACTATCACCACCACCACTAATACTAGTGCCACCACAACTACTACTATCACCACAACTACTATCGCCATCACCATAACTATTACCACCATCATTAGTACCACTACGACCAACATCACCACTAGCACTACCATTAGTGGTGGTAGTAGTAGTTGTGGTGATACCACAATGACGACTGCTGTTACCATTACTACTAATAATACTAATAATACCACCACCACTACTATTGCCACCGCCACTACCACCAAGAACACTACCACTACAAACATTACCATTACTACTACTACAGCTATGACACTCACCACTACCATGCTACTACTAATACCACCATCACCACTACTACTACTATCACTAATACCATTACGACGGCTACTACTACCCACACTAAAACTACCACCACTACTAATAATATTATCAGCACAACCATTGCTACTACTACCACTACTATTATCAGCAGCACTATTATGGTTACTACTACTACTATTACTATTACGAAATAGTCAACTAAAAAGTAGTTTGGAGCCAATTGGAATTGAAGTAGTAGAAGTTGGATTAAGAACTCCGACCTGCTGTCAACAACTGCAATTACTCATACGCCGTAGCTGTTGCTACATGATATAGCAAGTTTCAGAGACATGAATGCAAGTTAGAAGCTTGCGTTGGTTCGAATTTCCGCTGTAAAAATTTGAAGGTCGACGTTTAGATCGGCCGAAAGGTTTTGACGAAAAACAATAAAAAGAATACGAGTTAGAATATATATATATATATATATATATATATATATATATATATATATATATATATATATATATATATATATATATATATATATATATAATGATGAATAAAGATGGAAACAGATGAAAAGAACCGCATATTTTTATTTTTTTATTTTGACTAATTTCATCCAATACAAAGCCCAAGATTGTAGTGTTCGAGTCTGTTTCACAAAGTACCGATTCTTGGGAAGAAACTTTCGTAATGGAACGCAGTTCTTACCAAATGAATAAGTAGGTTGATTCAACTCTTTGGAAATAGCAAGGTTAGACTTGGTTTTATTTCGATTTCATTTTTCCTAATCTTAAAATAAATTAGCCAGCGTTTGTTTTTGTTTTTCCTGCAAGTGGCAAGGTATATGTAGTGAACAAAACGAGATCTAGATTGATTTTGTTAGAAATTAAAAAAGACTCGAATTTACAAACTTTGCTTAACAGACACGCAAAAGCGAATCCAAAACAAAACTCGTGAAATTTCACGAGTTTTTTTTTTTTTGAGGGGGTGGGATTTGCTTTTGCGTGTGTGTTAAGCAAAGTTTGTAAATTCGAGTCTTTTTTAATTTTTAACAAAATCAATGAGTCAGTGCTTAGCATTTGGATTTTAAATGTAGATCTTGTTTTGTTCACTACATATTTTCAAATTCGTTGTGAATGAAGAAATTCACTTACACCTATTTGGTCATTTTATCTTTTCCGTATTATTTTGGAACGAGCGATTCTAAATTATTGTTTCCGATTTAAATTGGAAAGGGAGTGTGTTTTCAGAAGTGGTGGAATCGAGTAAGAAATTGTGCAACAAAATTGATTCATATTCTTCTCGCAGTTGATGGGGAAAATTATGTTTTGTCGAGAAGTCAACCTCCCCAACAAACCCCTTCGTCCTGGTCGAATTTTAGTTTGGTACTCGATTGTTCTAAATACAACCGTACGGTTTACAATAGTCATGTTTGTGGAAATTTATCGAGTTATAAATTAAGCGTTGCGTTTCAAATAAACGTATCACCTGAATTTTTTTGGAAAGTTCTAATAAACGCGAAATAAAATAATCGTGCCGGAGGTTTCTATTCGGTACACCAGGGAACCGATGTTTTAACGTATTATGGCCGTAAACCGAAGTCACAGCATTTTTCAGAATCGAAAAAATATTAACTTGTTTTTTATCATTTTAGAAGGAGGTCTTGTTCAAAATATAGATACAATATCGAATCGAAACCTGGACTGTTTGTAATCTGTTTTATTCAATTCGTAATAGTACGCTGTTTACAGCGATGTATACACAGTTTCAAACTTGACATTTGTAAATAAAAACAAAGTACTGATAACTCAGTATTTATATTATGAACAGTGGTCCACTTTGAAAATTATAAAAAAAAACCCAATATTTTTCAAATTTCGTACCTGCTGTGGTTTCAGGAAGGTCTAACAAAAGCTAATCTACAAGAATCGTTAAATATGATCTATTTTTTACGTGTATCTAAGTATGCCTGTCTGCTTGGGTGGCTAACTAGTCCTCATTGTAGATACCTGCTCAGGCACATTTATGTTTAATCAATACCCATAGGCAACCTGTGGTTTATACTGCGGTTATGCTGAGCGGACATTAGTTACGGCAGAGAGCGCATAATCTGGCGTGATCAACAGACTGTACAAGGCCACTACACACACTCCCTCGGTTACGATGACTCGTGATTTTGTGCTAGCACAATCATTGGCGGCCTTCGAATAGTTTCGTCTACACAATTTCGTTCACAATATTTGGGATGGGATGGTTTTCAGGCAATTTCCTGGGATGGTTTACAGGCAATTTCCTGAGATGTTTTTCAGGCAATTTCCTGGGATGGTTTTCAGGCAATTTCCAACATCCTTTCCAAACAATATTTAGGCCCAAAATTCTCTCCTCCTGGAGGGAAGACGTTAAAGACATACAACATTTTGGTTGTGTCGACAATCTTGTTTACTATAAACTACTACTCGGATGGTGCATAAACCATTTCCATTTCAGTCAGCCGGTCGTTATGCGCAGTCTTAAAATACCTCCAAAGAAGACGGTCTGCAAGATCTTTCTCTTATTTCCGAAATACCTTACCACCCGAAAGGTCAACGTTATCTGAAAAGCAAAATGGATAATGATACTTGACGTTATATGACCCATATAGCTGTCAATTTGCCAGACGACCTCTCTGATTCTCTCCCTTCTCCACTTCAGCCTTTCTACTCGAAGACTTGCCTCTTAAAGAACAACTCAACGTTTCTTTTCGTATGAGGGTTATTGTTTTCAGCGAAAGGTATAACGAAGGCGCGACTCTTTATTGAAGGGTAATGGGCGCAGTGAGGTGCGAAGGGTGATCCCTTGCCTCTTACCACAGCCTTGCGGAAAAACGTAAGGCCACTCAGTAGATCCTTGACGTTTGTATCTCAATTAATTACAGCTGGATTCTGACCCTCCTTCTTATTAATTTGGTTATTGTTATTGCTGTTGCTTAATTTTGCAACCCATGGGAAAGAAAGAAAGCAAGAAAGAAAGAAAAGAAAAAAAAAGAAAGAAAGGAAGAAAAAAGAGGAAGATAAATAAACGAGAAATAAAAATAAAAGAAAGAAAGAAAGAAGAAAAGAAAGGGAAAAAGCGGAAGATAATAAACAAAAAAATAAGAACGAGTAAACGAGAAATAGGAAGGAAAAGAGGAAAAGAAAGAAAGAAAGAATAATCGAGAAATAGGAAAGAAAAAAAGGAATAGAAAAGAACGGATGGAAGAGAAATAAATGACAAGTAAATTTATAAATATGAAAAGAAAGAAAGCGTAAACGAGAAATAGAAACGAAAAGAGGAATAGAAAGAAAGAAAGAAAGAATAAAAGAAAGAAAAAAATGGAAGAAAGAAAGGTGAAGAAACAAACGAGAAAAATGAGAAATAAGAAAGCAAGAAAAGAAAGAATGAAAAACAGACGAGAAAAAAGGAAAAAAGAAAAGGTTAAGTGACATTTAAAGATTGGCTACACTATATGCTAGAGCTAGGCCTACAAATGTCTGACCAGAAACGAAGAAGAGCGAAAGATAGAAAAGAAAAATGAAGGTAAAGACTAACAATGAAGGAAAAATGAATGAATGAATAAATAAATGAAAGAATAAGAAAGAAAGGTACAAAAAAAAGAAAGAAATAAAAAAGAAAAGAAGGAAGGAAAGAAAGACAGCAAGAAAAAATGAATGGAGAGCTAGTCGAACAGTAAAAGAAAAAAAAGGAAAGAAAAAAAAGAAAGAAAGGAAGGAAAGAAGGACAGTAAGAAAAAATGAATGGAGAGCAAGTCGAACAGTAAAAGAAAAAAAAGGAAAGAAAAAAGAAAGAAAGAAATCAAGTAAAGGAGCGACAAAATAAAGATTGGGTAGAAGGTATACTTGAGAAAAGCCAAGGAATGTTTGGTTAGAAATGAAGAAGAAAGAAAGGAGAAAAAGAAAAAAAAAAGACTAAAAAATGAAAGAAAAAAGAAAGAAAAAAAAAAGAAAGGAAAGACCACCAAAAGGAAAATGAATGGAGAGTATATGTAACGGCAAAATAAAATAAAAGAAAGCAAACAAGAAAACAGACGAGAGAGAGTGAGAGAGAGAGAGAGAGAGGGAGAGAGAGGGAGAGAGAGAGAGACTAAGTGACTTTAACAGATTAGCTACATTATATATTTGAGAAGGTTTAGGGAATCTCTAATTAGAAATTAAGAAGAAAGAAAAATAGAAGAGGAAGAAGAAAAGAAATACTAAAAAGGAAGAAAGAAAGAAAAACGAAAGATTTAATGACTTCTAAAAATAAAATGCATTATACACTCAATGGAGACCAGAGAATATATCGGGCAGGTTATTGCACCATTAGCAACACTGATGAAGATACAAGTACGAAACATCTATGATATACACCCTTGTGCAAATTAATTGAAACAACCGCTTTAGCTTCCTTCCTTTCACCATACGGTCAGTTTTAGACCCACTTGAGTGACAGTGTGTAATCGATTTCCATTTTTTTCTTCAGATTAGGTCATTTGCAGTGGTGTGCAGTAATATAAATCTATTTTCGGGGTATATAATAAAATATGTTTGGCCTTGAAAAATATTGCGTCATCCGTGATTGCATCAGATTTTTATGTCTCGATTGCTGATTAGTTGTCCTACGGCCATTGTCTGCGATGAATGTTACTTCAAGGAAGCGTACGAAAATTGTAACGCTGTAGGAACACACTGGCAAGCCTCACCAGTGAGCAAATCAAAGTACTATCGGAAACTCTCTTGATTTAAATCCAATCGGGAATCTGTGGCCAATCTGCAAGGAACGATTTCGTGGAAGGGACATACGAAGTACTAATATAAGCACTGGGTCATGTTTCATTGGAAAAATACGAAAAAAAAAGTAAATAATAACAGAATTATTCGTTTTGTTTCAATTAATCTGCAGAAAGTGTACTAAAATTAATGAATCTGGGGGGGTGTATGCAACTGAAATGGGCAAGAATAACAGTGGCCAAAAGGCCACGCCGTAGAACCTAAGTTCGTTTTCTCATGTCCCATGACATTGCTAGAGAGATTATTACTGATTAGTCCATCACAGTGTGGTCCTGGGCCAAGTTTACTCTACCATAATACAGTATAAATCAATAAGGATCTTTAAATGACTCTTTACGTGAATGTAGACGACGTGGAAAATCTTCTAAAACCAAAAAAAAAAACAGACAATGATAAAGAAAGCAGAATATTTTCCTTTGGCCCTTAACGGGAAGCGGACTTTCGTCAAGAACGATTTGCAGGAACATTTCGCAGACATTCTCTGTCAAACGGCAAAATGAATTGCTGAAAATTGGCAAACAATCCACTTCCTCCGCCTGACTGCGTTCCAACCGGAAGTTTCCTGACTTCCGGGCACACTCCGTAATTCAATAATAGCGTCAATAGACAAACAATTTAAGTCTAAGATGGCAGTTCTCACACAACGGCAACAATTTCAACAACTTTGTTCGCTAAGCAAGCAAATGTCTTGGAGAGAATGCAGGCACGCGATGTTACCTGTGCTCGAATTCTCTTCTTTGAATTCCGTTTCAGCAAGAGTCAGAAACATTTATAGGTTTTAAGAGCACACACAATAGGCACAAATAAAGCGATTATTCTAGTTATCTGTTTGTAACGTAATTGTTCTGATTCTGAGCGTATTGGGAAAGTTTGAAAACGACCGCAGCACAAAAGGCCACAAAAATGTAATAATAGTCAAATAAATAGTCAAATACCAAATAAAATTGTGAATGGGTTTCAAAATATTCAATTGATTTACTATGGCCTTTCTCTTTGTTATTATAAAATATAATCATTTCCATGCAGATTTAAATATAGAGTTTGTTTCATTGTTTTTTTCCTTCTTTCTTTCTTTCTTTCTTTCTTTCTTTCTTTCTTTCTTTCTTTCTTTCTTTCTTTCTATTCCTCTTTTCTTTCATATTTCTCGTTTACGCTTTCTTCCTTTCTTTTCATATTTAATAAATTTACTTGTCATTTATTTCTCTTCCGTCCGTCCGTTCTTTCTTTCTTTCTTTCTTTCTTTCTTTCTTTCTGTTCCTCTTTTCTTTCATATTTCTTTCTTTCTTTCTTTCTTTCTTTCTTTCTTTCTTTCTTTCTTTCTCATTTATTTATCTTCTTCTTTCTTTTCATATATTATAAACTTACTTATTGTCATTCATTTCTCTCTTGTTCTTTCTTTCTTTCTTTCTTTCTATTTCTCTTTTCTTTCCTATTTCTCGTTAACTTTTTACTTTCTTTTCATATTTTATAAATTCACTTGTCATTTATTTGTCTTCCGTCCGTTCTTTCTTTCTTTCTTTCTTTCTCATTTATCTCCTTCTTTCTTTCTTTTCATATTTTATAAATTTACTTATTGTCATCATTTCTCTCTTGTTCTTTCTTTCTTTCTATTTCTCTTTTATTTCCTATTTATCGTTTACACTTTCTTTCTTTCTTTTCATATCTTATAATTTTACTTGTCATTTATTTCTCTTCCACTCGTTCTTTCTTTCTTTC